TGGCCTCGAACTCACAAAGATCCGCCTGCCTCTGCCTCCCGAGTGCTGGGATTAAAGGCGTGCGCCACCACCGCCCGGCTCATCTGTGCGTCTTAACCAGAAAGTATTGTATACTGTCTTTTTTTTTTTTCCTAAAATATGTTATTTGCTCTTGACGTAGATACTAACAAAGTATTTTATGATTGTTACTTGATATAGTCTGGTTTGGGTGTTTATTAATAATGCTCCAGGAAGTGATACTGCCAAAATAAATGCCTTAAAGAGCTCAGAAGTTAATGTTTTACACATTTAACCAGCATAAGGGCAAACTGTAGGACAAAACACACACTTATTAAGAAAATATTAAAAATTAAAACAAAAAAGATAAGGAATAGAATAGCAGAAAAATCTGTTGAAACTATCCTACTGCACAGTCTGAGGGGTGTGTTAGTATACAAGTTCTCACTCACCTGTAAATGCTTCTAACCCCTTCAACAAGTTTTTCATTGAAACTCTTCCATGTACTGTAAGAAGAAATTCAAATAAAGAAATGTATCATGTGACTTAAAAATAGAAAGAGGAAAAGATTCTAGCAGCACACTCAAGAATTTCTGCAGCTTTATCTTTTTCATGAGAATGAGTCAGAATAAAGAAACAAAATGCTAAAAACCCAACAATTTCAACAATGCCACTGTTATTCAGTTCTACTCAAACCTTTCACATTCAAGGGTAAGACTCAGGGGAATTTATGTTAAATAACTTTTATTTAGATCAGATCACTAAAACAGGATTTAGAGCTGTTTTATACTACATTTAATGATGTTTCAATTTGGAGTTTACTAACCATTTGCTCATGTTGTAAGTTCTCAGTCAGTATTTACCTATTTTTCTGGGCAGACTTGCTAATTCTTTTGTAGTGTGAGTGCTGACTACACTCACACTACAAAAGGTGTTTCTGGGTTGGAGGATTACACTTACTGCTCCATTACCATCTGCACAATGAAAAGTGACACCTCTGAGCAGATGGCATTTAAGGTATTTCCCCTAAGGTGTCAAAACTCATGTAGTCAGAATAATATTAGAGAGTGGCCTTGAGGGGAAGAGACAGAGGGAGGGAGGGACAGAGGGAAGGAGAAAGCACAAGAGAGAATCATTGCTAGAACTAAATACAATGTCAAAAGCAACTCATTCTATGGTAGTAGTGTAAGTCATGTAAGAGGAACCTTGTATCTCTAACAAACATTTGGAAATGTTTCATAAATAGCACGTCAGCAGTAATCAATACCCAGGAAGAACATCACCATCACTAAATTAGTGAGACTCAGCAGGATATGGATGCATATTTATACAAGATTACTATAAATGTTAATAACTAAATGGAAAAAATTCCATTAAGATTTCTAATGAAGATATTAATTTTGACTTATTCTTATCTTGTAAAAGTAAATAGGTGCACACCCCATATGACCCAGGTATTCTAGAGTATATACTTCTACTTCTAGGTATATATCTAAAGAAATTCTTGGACATGTGCATCACAAGACACACTTTGGGAGGGAATCATTGTAATGGTGAGAGCTAGAAACAATGAAAATATCCACTAAGTAGGAAAATTATAAATAGATTGTGGTATATTCATGAATTAAAATATTTCATAGCAAAGACTCCCCCGAGGATTGAGTTCAACCTGGTAGATTCGGGCTGGGGGGAAGGCAGGTGGGGTGGGATGGGGGTGGGTGGGAGGGGGGAGAACAAGGGAATCCGTAGCTGATATGTAAAATTAAATTTAATAAATAAATTTAAAAAATGAAAAAAGACATATGGAAAAAAATATTTCATAGCAACAAGGAAGTATTACTTTTGTGGTATTTTTAGGCATTTGGGGGGAATTCAATATTGAGGAAGTAAGTTCCAGAAAATCTGTGAGACATTGTAAGATAACATTTTAATAAAACTCACAAAGAGGTAAATACATATTTATTTTTAAACATTGTTTAGGAACACACACCCACACCCACACATTTATCTGAAACAAGTGCTTTTAAAACAAGGAGACTACAAACATAAATTTAACATAGCAGTTGACTAGCAAAGGTGTGAGGTAGAGGAAGCGCCCATATGAACGCAAGAATCACTGATCATTTATAGTGCTTAAGTTACATTAAGGAATCACAGCTTTTCATTTACAAATACTTTATAATATGTATTGTATAAAGCATAATTTTACATTCCCAAACATCATATTTAAAACTATGTATTCAGTATCAGCTGCATTCAAATCATGCACGGTTTCCTTTGCATAACTCTTGCCAATCATTGGTAGAACAGTTGGCCAGTACTTCAATGTGCATGGCCAAAATCAGTTGGCAAGAGTATGACATTGTCAGTTACATGTATTTCAGTGACTTTTTATGTTGCTCCATACCTAACATGTCTTTTATTGTCTCACTTTTTATATCTTATGAAATTTGGATGATTTGAACAAAGTGAAAAGAAATACATTTAGATAAATCCAGAATTGTAATTATTTTTCAACTTTGAATTTTTGCAATTTATGCACTTCCTACTATTTAACATGTAGTAAGCATATCTGAATACACAAGTAATACTGTTAGAAGTAAATGAGTACATTAATAGGAATATATCTGAAAATAATATATATCCTGCTGAAGGGCACAGCCATTAGTGGCAATAATAAAATGACATGGTATATGATCAAATGAATACTTTTAGCCAAGAGTTCTCCCCAGGTTCATATTCACCCGTTTTACTCATTTGTGGTTGAATTCCTCTGTGCTTTGATACACACAGCTGTTATCACCATCCAAAGCAGAGGCAGCTGGAGTCCAAGAAGACAAAGCTTAGACCAGGATGGGTGGCCCAGAATAGAGGAGTATGCCAACAATGCTGGTGTGAATCCTGCATCGTCCTTGCCCTGTGCCAGCTGCCTGGTTTTGCCACGCTTCATGGCAAAGGAATATGTGCTCAACCTATCATTCTCTCCTGTCCCTTGCTTGCTTGTTTTCTTGGACAGTGGCAAATGTCTGGATTGAGTAGGATTAGTGACTGTGGAAATAATCATTTCCCTGGATGATTGAGGTGCTTCAGTCACTCCTACCCTCAGCATTCATTTGTCATTTCCAGATAATTCACCTTTAACATTTTCATTGTACTCTCCCTCCCCTCCAGCTCTTCCTAGCCTAGTAGAATACCCAAATAAATTCAGTTTACCACTTGAGTGACAAGAACTGCATCACAAAGGACAAAAACATGAGGTCATCACTTTCTTTTATATTTAAAAAGCCCAGCTGTGTCTGATGAACATTTAGGGATTGACTAACTGATGCATATACACAAGTCCCAGATTTTCTGACTTAAAAATATCTTAAATGCTCACCATCGGCAGGCACATTTTTCTTCAGATCCTTAATTTCGTCATTTGTTAGCTTCCACCCCATATTTTTCAAAATTGTGTCGATTTTATTGACATCAACAGTCCCATCTGGGAAAACCAAGAAGAATTAGTAAAATCTGATGGATTTTAATTCCAATGCTCCTGATTTTAATTAAGTTTTCAGTTTTAGTGAGACCATTTAGTCCACAGAAAGGTCAAAATAGGCTTAAAAATGGGATATATTTCCTCAGTTTAAACTGTGGTACTATGTTCACAGAACTCCCTTGGAGCAGCATAAAGTCTCATCCTTTAAATACTGTCAAGGTGAACTCAAGTCAATGGCTTCCTTTCTTTTCTCTTCTGGAAGTAGGGATTGAACCCAGGGCCTTATTCGTGGTAGGCAAGAACTTTACCACTGAATTGTCTACATAATTTCCCGTTTGGTTCACATACTTATACAACTTCCTTTTTCAACAAACAGGAATACAATTAAAAAAATGAAAACAAACCCTCTAATGTAAAGATTCTTTGGTAACAAACATATTTACAAAGGAAGATAAAGACAGCGTTATGTAGGTAAGTTGATGGGTCTCTTCATTTTTTATTATGTTCTTTACTTACGACTAAGAGACTTCAAACCATCCATCATTCTGTTCTTGTGGACTTTTTCATCAGCTACAAGAAACATAAATCAGGTCACACACAAATGAATCGTGGGGAGTCATGAAGGGCAGAAAAACTCATAATTTAAAGTAAAAGAAACTAGTGGCTTGTGGGGAGTTGGTTCTCCCCTTCTACCATGTGGGGACTGAACTCAGGTCATTAGGGTTGGTGACAAGTGCCTCTACCCTCTGAACTGTCTTGCTAGCCTCCACTTTATGTTTTGGAGACAAGAGCTCTGAGCCTGAAGCTTGCCACTGGCTGGCCTGCAAGCCTTTGGGATCAGCCTGTCCCTATTCTCCCAGTGTTAAAACTATAGCCCAGGCTGCCATACCATTCTTTTTATGTGAGTGCTAGAGATTTGAACTCAGATTCTCATGCTAACACATTGTCTTAGCTACTTTTCTATTGCTGTGATAAAACACTATGACCAAGGTAACTTAGAAATCATTTAATTTGGGGCTCACAGTTCCAGAGAGTTGGAGTCCATGACCATCATGGGATGGAGCATGGCCACAGGCAGGCAGGCCTGATGCTAGAGCACTAAGAACTCATACCTTGAGTCACAACAATGAGATAGAGCTAATTGGCAATGGTATGAGTTTCTGAAACCTCAAAGCTCACCCCCCCAGTGACATACGTCCTCCAACAAAGCCACACCCCCAGTCCTTCCCAAAAAGTTCTACCAATGGGACCAAGTATTCAAATATGAGCCTATGAGGGCCATTTTCTTTCAAACATCACAGATGACAAGCATTCTCTTCAGCCCATAGATGACATTTTTAATATGAAGTTAGATTATTCATTTCTTTTCTTTTTCTTTTTT